TCATCTCCGTTTCAAAGCCGAAGAGCCAGTGCTATCTGAAGATGTCTCCATAGTCATGTGGCTGGTGACTAAACACCAAAGGCGCACGGAATGCTGTTATCTTCCCACCAAAGGTGGTCCCTATTTTGCTATTTGCATTTTTTACGTGCTTTCGAACAGCTAGGTTGGCAGAAGCTGGGACAAGTAACAGGAACTCACCCTGTTACACAGCACTAGGGATTCGAACTGCTGAACTGCCGACTTTTCGATCGACAAGCTCAGCGTCTTAGTCACTGAGCCACCGCGTCCTTATTAGTAGGCATTACTTTTATATGGAAGATATGTCTGTAGAATCTCAGAAATTCCCAGCAGCAAGGAAAGCCTCAACTTATGAGATTGATAATGTCAGGGCTGTGAGGCCCAAATCACTCCCTATATTTAATGGCATAGTCTTAATATTGAATATTGAGAAATAAATGGCCACTTCAGAGAATATCTATTCTAAAAAATAATTCTTACAGTTTATCTTATTAATTAATATTAGCTTATGTCTCCAGAGCTCTCCTGCTTAAAAAAAAAAAATATTTACTGAGTTTTAAATGCTAAAGCATGTCCTGTGTGAATAGACCACTAAGTGTCAGTGAAGCAAATGACAGGTTTATCTTATCAAGCCGATATAGATCCTTGCTTTTTTCTGTTATGGTTCTCAGCGCGTGCACAAACACACACACACACATTATGGCCAGAATGCTGAGAAATTTCTTAATTACTTGCATTGCGAAATTGACTTCTCTTAATGCTGATCCAGCAGTATTCTGCAGCTTTCTCACTTTAAGGCTTATTTAACTTGATTGCGAAATTTCAGTTCCCTAAGTTATATTAATGTTATTTATAGTCTAAGATAAACTCTTAGTTACACATTGCACATAATCAGGAAGATAATCACAAGGAAATGAAAGAACAATTAATTGTCATGAACAATTAAACTAAATTAAATAATCTTTAACATAAATTAATGATTATTTAGATTTTCATTATAGCTGGTATATTCAAAGCTGATGTACTGTTTTCTCACTGTTGTGCCATGAAATCTAAGGTTCTTATATAGAATAGAATAGAATTCTTTATTGGCCAAGTGTGATTGGACACACAAGGAATTTGTCTTTGATGCATATACTCTCAGTGTACATAAAAAGAGAAGATACATTCATCAAGAATCATAAGGTATAACGCTTAATGATAGTCATAGAGTACAAATAAGCAATCATCATACTAGGAAACTATATAAATCGTAAGGATACAAGCAACAAAGTTACAGACGCAGTCATAAGTGGGAGGAGATGGGTGATAGGAACGATGAGAAGATTAATAGTAGTAATGTAGACTTAGTAAATAGTTTGACAAGTGTTGCGGGAATTAGTTGTTTAGCAGAGTGATGGCGTTCGGGAAAAAACTGTTCTTGTGTCTAGTTGTTCTGGTGTGCAGTGCTCTATAGCTTCATTTTGAGGGTAGGAGTTGAAACAATTTATGTCCAGGATGCAAGGACACAAGGAAATATTTTTGACTCCTGCAGTATACAGGTCCTCAATGGTTGGTAGTAATTGTTTTTTCTGCTGTTCTAATTATCCTCTGAAGTCTTTGTTTGTCTTGTTGGGCTGCAGAACCAAACCAGACAGTTATAGAAGTGCAGATGACAGACTCAATAATTCCTCTGTAGAACTGGGTCAGCAGCTCCTTGGGCAGTGTGAGCTCCCTGGTGCAGAAATAACATTCTTTCTTGTGCTTGATGATGTTTTTGATGTTAGGTGTCCATTTTAGGTCTTGAGTTATGATAGAATCTAGAAATTTGAAGATCTCTACTGTTGATACTATGTTGTCTAGTATTGTAAGAGGTGGTAGTATGGGAGGGTTTCTCCTAAAGTCTACCACCAATTTCTACGGTTTTGAGTATGTTCAGTTCCAGATTGTTACGGTCACACCACGAGGCTAGTTGCTCAACTTCCCATCTGTATGCGGATTCATCGTCGTCTCTAATGAAACCAATCACTGTTGTATCATCTGCAAACTTCAGTAGTTTAACAGATATAAACAGTAGTTTATATCTTGAACTTTGCACATTTTACATTTCCCTGGGAAAAATGTATATTCGTTTAATTACCTGTCAACTTTTGTTAATTACCTATTAATCTTTGAGAAATATTTATTATATAAACTGGAATAGCTTTCCCCCACTTGGTATTTTTTTTTTTTTAGTAATATTGCCTTGACCATACTGATTCATAATGCAGGAAGTGAAGCCCAACAAATGTAAAGGCCAGTAAGTTGGGAAAAAAATGGTCTAGCCAGTCACTAGAACGTGTGTTACTACATATTCAGCAGCTTTGGACAATTGATGAGTGTTTGAGAAACCAACCTGAGCATGCTGTTCATGAGCGAAAACCCTGAAAACTCAACAATTCTGACTTCTTAGACCTCAATAGAAGCTGCGTGTCAGTGTAATTAATTAAATCTTGTGCTTTCCCATATTTTTTTGGTTGCACATAGAGTAATTCTGAAGTAACTTCCTTTTTTTCTACTTAGCTGAGATACATAGCTGCATTCCTCAAAGCTGTGTAAAGTTTTCCTATCTATTTGTCATTAAAGTTAAAGTACGTGTGCCTCTGGCTTTGCACCTTCTTGATACTTTCTTGTTCCCGAGACTCAGCTGTGAAATTGGAAGTTGCAAGCCTTTCACTCTTTGTACGTGGCTTTAATAAGGTCATTTCTGCACCTTCAGTATTGCACTTCTCTGACTATCTTGTTGGTACTGGATGGAGCCATACCTGCAAGAATCACTAATTGATACCGAAACAAGAAGCAAAAGTTATGTTACCTGATCATCCTGGAATAATGTCCACTGGTAGCCCATGTTTAATAACCCCAACCGGAACCGGGATTTCTATTGCTAAATAGTTATGATGTGAAACCATATGACTGTACCACTTAGTTTTCTAATCCTGATTGTGGTCATTAGGCCAGAATCTCACACTTCTCCTACCCACTACTTGTTGCCTCTACTTCAACTCCCCTCACTCACAACCCTCTGCAATCTCTTTGTCTTTTTGGCCACCCTGGACCACTGCACTCCCACTGCTCTTATCATTCCCTGCTGTCCCTTAGCTGACTTCTGCTATCTTCTTCCTCTTGCTGCTGATGAGGTGTGCCCATCTGGTCCTATATTAAGAAACTGCTGACCACACATGGCCTTCCTGAACTACCGTTTGTTCTGCATGGTCATAGCTTTGAGTGGTCCCTGAACAAATGGTCATTAAGTGAGGATTACCTGCATTGCAAATCTATCCCAATTTTTAGATCTTGGAAATCTAGAATGGGTTAATGTAGTTTTATTTTTAAATATACATTAAAACAGGAATCTGATTCATATGTACTGCATCACATTCTATCAACCAGACCTCACTTTTATACGTAGAAAGCAATGATGTTACTTGCTGTTTTAAAGCTTACAAATTGCTTTAAGGAAATAGGATGAAAACATTGAAGCTTTGGTTCACAGTTCTTTTGCTTCAGTTTGGCAGAATATAGCAGTGCGGCTATGATTATACAAGTGGCAGTAATTTGAAGAGTTGGCTATAAACCAAGGTGCTCGAAATTAAAAACCGGTGTTTTTGAACAGGAGCCCAGTAAATAATATTTTGAAACTATCTCTGCTTTGTGTATCAGTTTAAAATACCTGTTTTTCAGCTGAAGATATTGTTTTGTATTGCCCATGAATCTGAATTTTCTGATCATGCAGTTCACAGACCATTTTATTGTAAAATATAGGAACATTTGAATTTTTTTAATTTGAAATCAGACTCTGGAACAACAGGGCTAAATGCATAGGGGGGGGAAAAAGTTTAGAGAACTCAGTACTCATTTTCCAGAAGTCCTCTGGGTCTACATATCTCATTTTATACCGCCATAGTGGATGGTTGGAGAGTCCTTAATTCTGTCGCTTATCTTCAAGAACTTCCTGCCATAGGGAGAGGTAGTTCTCAGTGTACCACTTGCCTTCGAGGAAACATCTCACCTGGCCTTCTCCCTGCTAATGCAGGTGTGACTGAGATATGGGATTTTGGTATGCTGAGTTTTTTTCTGACACATAAAAAAAAAAAAAAAGAGAAATGTATAGTGCCACTTCATTATTGATTTTATTTAAAAAAGGAAAGGAGAATATAGAACCCCTTTTTAGATAGTCACATGCATTTTACCATTCAGTAGCAAAAGAGAAATAAAATATAGAATTGTTCAAATCACAGATTGCATCTCAAAAAGTTGGTCCTTCGATGTAGGAAGAAAATTTAAAGTTTCCAAACCACAGGGGTTTGTCTGCTCCTTGTAGAAGCAATTGGGCCATAAAGTTTCAAGTTTGTTTGTTTGTTTGTTTGTTTGTTTGTTTGTTTGTTTGTTTATTTATTTTATTAGATTTTTATACCGCCCTTCTCCTACTGGACTCAGTTGCAAAAACAAGGAGGAGTTGTTGACAAAACATAGAGCCAATAAATATCAGAGCCAAAATGTTAGAATTAAACACATACACCGTCAAAAACAATTAGTTTTATTCAATATTTTGCAGTAAATTTATTACTATTTTTTAGGATAAATTGATGCATGAAGCTAGAGTCTGCATGCTTTTTTCCCCATCTTTTTGTAAATTGTAACCTTTTATGAGTGATTCAGGAATGCTATACTGTACCTGTGAACCAAGAAAATTTAGAATTTGCTGTGTTATAGAATAAGAAAGAACATTCTTTTCTTGTAGTTCAGGTATTTCACCAACCTTTTGCATTCTGTAGGCCGTTTGGATATGTGAACTTTACTTCCCTGAATTCTTAGCAATTGTCATACAGCTGAGGTGTATCCTCATTGCAGAAGATGTTATTACATTTTGCACCCATTTCTGCTCTTAATTTTGTGTGGGGCTGACCTCAGAGCTATTTGCATGTTAACATATTTTTTTATTTCTGTCTCATTCTGTACAGGTTGTTCCATTTGAAGTTTATTTTCCACTGCTTATTTAGTTAGAACCTTATGAGTTCGAAAGCCAGAAGAAATTTGTCAGAATGCAACATCATACAACATCTTTCTGTAATTTGAGTTTCCTGCTTTCCTGCACTGTGGTAGGACTCCATCAAGAAAAGTATCCAGAGAGAAGCTTCTAATCTATGAAGGGCCATGGGCTTTTGGTCTGCTAGCTGTCACCTCTCCTACAAACTCAAGCTATTGATGCTCATTACCCTCTGCGTCTTATTGATAGGCTGGGCTACTTCCACTTACCTGGTGGATATTTTACATGAAACTCCAGCAGCAAAAGGGATGATTGAAAGTTTCAGGAAGCCAACTACTATTAAGGAGGAACAAATGGAGAATTCAAAGAGGAAGGCCAGGCTTATCAAGAAACTACCCACAGCAATACCCCCCTGTCCTTCTTTGTCTCCCTATCTGCGTAAGTCAATTCACATTTTATTCTTTCTGGAAAAAAAAAGGGGGGGGGGGAATTAAGGCCTTGAGCTAATCTCACCCCTCAAGATGGGAGGGGTCTTTTAAAATGAAAATGCTAAATCCCAAAATGTTCTTTTGAACAGGTTAATCATCTTCTGTCTGCTGGTATTATATTACTGTGTCTGATAGAAAGTCTCTTAAGCAGAAGTGGGCAATTAATTTTCTGAAGGGGGTCATAGGAAAAACTGGGAGTGTTGTGGAGGGACATGACTACCCACCCCGCCCCACTGGCACCTTCCCATCCAACATGGCCATCCCTGCTGCTACACTGATGGCCCCCCCTCCCCCCAAGCCACTGATGCCAGGTCTCCAAAGCCACAAATACTACTGGTTAGACCGGGTCTGCCAATGGGCCAGGTCTGGCTCATGGATTGTAAAATACCCAAGTCTGTTTTTAAGGATTATTTAAATACTTGGGTCATATAGCAAAGCTGCTATTGTTGGATCTTAAATTCCATAATTAACGTGACCCAAGGCAATGTTAAGACTTTTCAATATTTGTGTTACTTCCAGTAAAATGTCAGGAAATTCCAACATTTCCTCCATGATCTAAATATTTTTTTTAAAAAAAATATTTATTTGAATTTATTAGCTCCCAAATAGACATCCCACCTATTTATTTCAACTAGCTGGGCTGGCTTGAGTTAAATTTTAAATTGATTTTAAATTGGGTTGTTTTAATTTACGGCCAAAATATCTAATTATTTTAAATTGTTTTTAAATTTTATATGTCCTGTTTTTTACTTTGGCTGTTCACCGCCCTGAGTCCTATTTGGAGAAGGGCGGTATAGAAATTGAAACAAATAAATAAATAAAATAAAAATAAATAAATATTAAAAAGCAACTACTATTCTAATTTATGGATATTCTAATGTACACTATTCTAATGTATGGATATCGCTTTAGTAAAAAATTGTAAACTTCACATATTCTGTTGCTTTTGCAGTTTTTTCTTTTGAATTTGAATTATAAAATGCTAGTGTGGAATGAAATTTATGCCCCATTTTAAGTATAATAGTAGGAATTAAGAAGCAAAACCCCCAAGAACATAGGGGTGGGATATCATATTGTAGCTATTTATTTATTTATTTAGAAATGCTTGTAGCTTTCCTCTATCCTGAAAGATTCAGGGCAATGAACCACAAAATATATTGACAAAAATACAGCAACAATAAAAACAGTACAGTTCAACCATAAAAATGCAGGTGAATGACACCTATAGCCGATGGAAAATTCATATTTAAACAGCTAGTGAAATGCAAGAAGGAACAGGGCCAAATGCACCCCTGCAGGAATCATTTATCAAAGTATGTGGCAGTACCACAGAGAAAGCCCATTAGCCTGTTACCCTGCACATTTCACGTGTGTTGTTCATCCTTCCAGTAGTCTGGCTGCTATATTTTTTTGCTGCTTGACTCACATAAACTGTTTTTGCAGCAGCCGAGCAAAATGATGATCATCATATGTGTTACTGTTGCCAGAACATTGTTGGCCAGCTGGAGTTTTAATTGACACACATTCTGTATCTGAGCAATGTACCTGGTCCATCTTCTGCTTGATTGGGGAGCCTGTGGTTAGTTTCCATTTATAGCTCATCTTTATTCAAAGATCCTAAAACCCTGTGCATAAACCTTTCCTAATTTATCCTCTGAAAAACAACCCTGTGAGTTCACTGAATGGAAATGGCTCAAAGTCAATGTGCTTTATGGTCAAATGAGAAGATGAAACCCCCTCTTCTTGATCTAACTTGAGTACCTTAGCCATTGCAGGGCATTTGCTCTTAAAAGACTGCACTGTGAAATATATTGCATGAAGAACATTAAAATTTAGTGCACTTCATCAACCTAGACAATGACATGTATTACAGTAAATTCAGCAATTATGATTTGGAAACCATCTTACTTACTACCCATTAGCCAGGGTGCTATGATTTGCTCAACAGGCTGTGCTCCAAAGAAGTCAAGTTCTAGCAAAAATGTAAAGCCAATCACTGCCTACCCCATTCTGTCCCCAGCAAAATTGTGGGTAGCTTACCAGCAGTGCCAATTGTTTATGTGGCATTTATTGTAATGGAGCTGAATTTCAAAAACTGGAAAATTGGATTCTGTAACCATAGGAACTGACCAACAAACGACCTTTCCTTCGCAGGAGGACTTTAAGCAGAGGTTGGACAGCCATTTTTCAGATAGTAATATTGGGCAAAGTTTCAGACTAGAAGATCTCCAGCCCTTTCCCACCCCTTACAGTCTGTGGTTCTATCATCCCCAGTCACTTCCAGGGGCTCTAAAGTCTTACTGTAGTGAGAGTTGTGAACATCAGGCTTGCCTTTTCCCATAGGAGGCCCCAGCAAGCTCATTTTCAGAGCATCTCTCACTCTGGAAGAACTGCAAAAAGAGAATCCTTCGGTAGCCAAAGGGCGCCATAGGCCAAAAGATTGCACAGCTCAGCAACGGGTGGCTATATTGATTCCACACCGCAATCGAGAGAAGCATCTGCTGTACCTGTTGGAGAATCTTCATCCATTCTTGCAGAGACAGCAGCTGGATTATGGCCTTTATGTCATCCACCAGGTGAGTCCATATAGAGTGAGAAAAGCAAAAGCCTCCCTCAAATCAAGTAACTTCTGGTGACTTCATGGACATGTTCAGACAGTTTGTTTGGTAACAGTATGGAAATGGTTTGCATTCTTTGGTGATGGATTTTTAAAATGTAATTTAATTTTTTATTGTTTGGCTTTCCAGACTAACCTGAAGTTATTTTCTGGTAATCTCCCACCCGGGGTGGATTCTACTTACCTTTACTACCACTTCGCAGCGGGGCTGCTCTCTTCTGCACATGCGCAGAAGCGTTTTGATGATGTCGGGGTCAGTGGGCGGAGCCTCCCGCCAGTTTTACTACTGGTTCTATAGAATGGTGCGAACTGGGGGCAATCCACCACTGTCTCCCACCCAATACTAACTAGGTCTGACCCTGTTTGTTCAATCAAGAACTGAATGCTACTAATGCCCAGAGATATTTTTAGTGCCCTTTGCTTATTGTTTTTGACTGTGTAATTTTTTTTCAATTAACTAGTAATATATTGGTTCAGGGAAGTCAAATATTATTTCTATAGCTCCATTTACAAAACCAACCCAGAGTGTTACCAGTCCTGAGATGTCTTTGTATGTGTCTGTATTAAGTTTATTTTGTCTTTTGCTGCAAGAGCTTAAAGCAGATTGAACACATTAAACAGAGGAGGTGGCAAATTAAGTTTATGCACCATTGGTAGAGTATTATTGTTTTCTAAGTTGCAAGCCCTAAATGTATATTGTCTTCATTGCCCGTTTGCATCCTGCTCATGGTTTGAGGTCTGACTTCTTTTGCTATAGCTATCAATTCTTGCGCTCATTTTTTTTAAAGTTTGAAACTTTTTTCTTTTGAGTAAAAGTTCTCAGTCTATGAAAGCAAAAGCATTACAGCCCAAGAAGCAATGTACATTTATTCATTAATGTATTTATGGCCAATGTTTTGATGTTGGAGAACTCTTATCAATAAAGAGCTGTTAGTTCAATTTCAAAAATACTAAAGTAAAATCCAGAGTTAGGACATCTGATTTCTCACCACCATATGTGGCTTGCTAAGAACAAACCCTTTCTTACCATACAGCAAGAGACAAATAAATTGGGTATCATGATTTGCACCCTAAACTTACAAGAACAAATTTTCACATTGGATGGCATAAAAATATAACACAGAAAGAAAGAAAGCATCCACTAAGCTTTGTTTGTTCAGTCATTTTTATTGAAAGAGGAGCCAAATGGAAATGATCAAGCAATGCACCAGTGCATTTAATAGTTCTTGGGATACCAGAATTAGCACGTACTTGGGTTATAAAGTGATACAAAACAGACTCTGGCACTCAAGCATTGATGCTCTGGGTGTATTCTCTATGAAGCCATTCAGTTGGAAAATTTGAAGCAAAAGACATGGTTGCTTTAAGAGGTCCCTTGAAGCATGGTGTCCACTAAGTCATTTTGGAGAAGAGAACGTTGGTTCAAGGGAAGACATTTCTTTTTTTGGATCTTCCAGGATCTTGCCTCAGGTGCTATAACTTTATCATCAATGATAAATGAAGAAGACCCTGTAGTTAAGTAGAAAAGACACCCGGTTAATATGAATAAAAAGTAGGAACAGTCCCAAGTAAGGTTAGGAATAGCCTTTGCTTCAGTGGTGAAATCCAATTTTTTTTTTACTATCAGTTCTGTGGGCGTGGCTTGGTGGGTATGGCGTGGCTTGGTGGGCGTGGCAGGGGAAAGATACTGCAAAATCTTCATTCCCATCCCACTCCAGGGGAAAGGATATTGCAAAATCTCCATTCCCACCCCACTCTGGGGCCAGCCAAAGGTGGTATTTGCTGGTTCTCCGAACTAGTCAAAATTTCCGCTACCAGTTCTCTGAACTGCTCAAAAATTCTGCTACCGGTTCTCCAGAACCTGTTGGAATCTACTGGATTTCATCCCTGCTTTGCTTGCTAAGTGCTTTTTCTAAGGCAACTTGAAGCTTTCCAGCTAGCGCTACCATTATTCATGGACAGGATGGTAGAAGTGTTGCCAAAACAATACTCTGGCAGTTTGGAAAAAACTGGCCTAAGGCAGCAATTATGTTCAGAATTGTGTCTGAAACTTTCCTTTAGGGACTGCTCTCCTGTTCCTGTCTCTGCTTTTGTGGCTAGGGAAAACAATTCTCTGTATTAATACTTGCAGATTTTTTCCCTGGGATTGCAGTATCATCTATGGCCCATGATGCTCCATCCAGGGAGATGAAAATGGGAACAGGGTTTCTTTTTTAAAAAAAGCAAAAGGAGCTGACAATATGGCATTAATATGCCATACTTTGATTTTATAAAATCAATTAACTTTGAAAAAAGTTTGAGGAGACTTTACACCTTTCTGTTGTGATCCTCCAGCAGCCTGCAGAGCTGGCAGTGGAGTCAGACAGTGGGAGGCTGGGGAAGAACATGGGCCAGTCCTAGAGTCTGGGGAAGGCTTGGACGAGGGCTCTGCGTCAGAGGCAGAGATGGGCCCAGGGCCATCTGGGAGTGATGCACGGACTCCAGAGCTTCCAGATTCAGACATCAGAGAGGCAGAGGAACAGGAGGAGCCTGTTCCTAGTGCTTGCATGCGCAGAGCTGCCAGAAGGCAAGAACAGTTAAAACTAAAGGGACAACTCGGTAGTAAGGCCTGGAGATGATTGGCCCCTCTCAAAAGGCTTAAAAGAGGAGCAAAGGCACGTGGACCTTTTGCAGGAAAGCAATGTTGTTAATTCTGTTCCCAGTTGGCATCTCTGTTTGATTCTGGACTCCGTGTGGCTTTGCCAAGTAGGTCTTCGGCAGTGTGTCAAGGGAGATAAAGGTTGGTGATTATCCCGAAGGACTTCTCCCAACTAATTGGGACTCAGCTGTGAATGAACGTGATTCACAGCTGTTGCAATAAAAGAGGTTTTGGGGACTACTCGTGTGTTTTAATGTCTCAGGAACCCTAGACCACAACACTTTCTTCATTTCCTGTTTAGTTGCTGATGGCTCTACAGAAGGTCTCTGAATTCTCTTCTGAGTTTCTGCATTCATAAGAATGTATGGGTGCTTGCCAGAGCTGTAGGCCTTTAAGTTGAGAATGAAATTTACCTTAAAAATATAAGGTAGAATTCCATTTGAAAATAATAGTTTCAGAAAACTAAGAGTAGCACGACAATATATTATCAGTTCATGTGTTTTTTAAATGTTCATCTACAATTGTAAAATAAAAGAAAACTAACAGTCTATTTTTAAAACTTAAATTAGAAGATTGAAGCTGCGGTTCTAAACATTAATGAATAGTTTCCACTTGAGCATGGTGGAATTAATTTCTCGATACGTATGACCATTCAGGAAAGATATTTAAAGTTTATTCTTAAACATTAATTTGGAATTGAAATTGTAATATTGGTCATAAATGTATATTTTACAAATATTAAATAATTATGCGATACTACAATTTCTTATGCTTGATAATTCTGGGATGAGAATATAACGTTTAGGTAAAGTATATTTATAGTGTTAGGTAATCTTGGAATTGCTAGTATCATGTAATGATCTGGAGACTTAAATTGAAATGTTCAACATGACACAGGATATCAGTTGATAATCGTGGCAAAATATTTAATTGACAGATTAACTGGTCCACCAGTGAAGTCCTGTGAGTATAGTTCAACCTTCCCACTGTGGGGGCTCTCCAAATATGCTACCATATGGCTACTGGCCTTGTTGGTGGGAATTATGGGAGAATTGAACACATCTGTGGTTATTGGATTAGACAAGCTGTTAAAGTTTATGCGTGCATTTGATCCAAGGCTTTTATGCTCATCTCCCTGAATTAAGAGGATGGAAATGTGCATAATCTGTTTATTTACTGATGTTATATATTGTGTTTTTTCCCCAAGTATACAAATTGTTTCATAATCTGAAATAATAGATTGCAAGCCAAGAAACATGGCACAAAAGAAAAAAAGAAGGAGGGAAGAGGAAAAGAAAATAGACAGATTCAGTTCTCTTGTCGTGTCAAGAGAGCATAAAATGGCTGGCCTCAAATTTTACTGATCTTAGCCCAGTTGATTAATACTGGGAACTTGAATCCCAGGTCCCCAGATTATGGGAAGGCTGCCAACTCCAGCAGGGAGTCATAAAAAATGGAAGCAGAGAAATATATGGTTATATTGAGAAACAGCTGGTAGAGGAGAAGTTCTCAGGCTGAGAGTTTCTGTATTTAAGAAATGCCTTGACTGCTTTACTGTTTAATCTTTTCTATCTTGTCAGATGTAAATGCCTTATTCTCCAATGTGTAAATAATGTATATTGGAACATCAGAGGTTAACTTATTCTTTGGACTTTAATGTATTCATAACTTACCACTCCCATTCCTAGCTCCACCCCTTGTATATATAAGGAGCCACCCTCACCATTCTCGTCTCTTCTACCTTGAATATTCAGTGAATATAGAATGCCTATCATAATTAAAAAGAAATATATTTAAAGCTCTAACTCCTATTATCTTTATTGAGTCTGATCCTGAAAATATTGCAACAAGCTGGTAGCAGAGGATGGTTAATTGACTCAATAAGTAATTAAAAATGTCCAAGAAAGATAGGCCCAACACCAGGGCCTACAGCAAAGAAATAGAAACTGATCAAGAGATGATCAACGAATCCACCAATGCGATTTCGAGAGAATCCGAAGAATACACCACTGAAGAAGAAGAACTAATGAGTGAAAATAATGACCAGAAAGAAATAGAAATAGAAAATAACGAACTCAGGTCAAAGATATTAAAGATACTAAAAAGCCAAAAGAATGATGAAAGTCTCATCGCGGACCTCCAGGAGATGCTGAAGAACAGCGGAGCAGCGAGAGAGAAAAACGTCATTAAAGAAAAACCCAAAGATCAAAAAACCGTAAGTGAGATGACTACTGAGAAAATAGTTGTTAAAAAGAAAAGATGTGATCCCGCGCGAAATTTTGAATGGCAGCCATCTTGGTTTCAACGAACTTCAAAAGAGA